GGACAAAGAACAAGAAGGGGCAACCAGGTGCTCAACCTGACAGCAAAATACAACCAGGTATAAGAAACACGTTACAAAACACAGATCGTTCAGGGAGCGATATAAAACAATGCAAACGAGCCAACCAAACAAATAATTAAAAAAATATAGAAAACTAATTGGCTGTGAGGATAAAGTACTGAACACAGGAGACATAAGTTCATGAACAAGTGACAAAAGCAGCCAAGTAAGTGAGTAGACAAACAGATCTGGGGAACAGGTGACAAGAACAAGCGAGGCGTTGAGATCAGATGAACCAGGAAATGACTGAGGGAAGGGAGGCGAATATATAGGCTGGAGACCAAGGGATAACAAGCAACAGGTGGAAACAATGAGTAAAGCTGTATGTTGCCTGACATTCCAGGTAAACAATCCCAGTGCCACTGAAGTAGTGCTGCTGATAAAAATTATCATGCAGGATACAAGCAGGTGATCTGCTAAAACATTGAACAAATCAATTCCCATCAGTCAGGTGCAATACACAATAGTAGGCCAATAAAAATTCTTTGGCAACCTCCCCAGTGAGCAGAAGCAAATTCAATCCAGATATGTAGTATGGCAAAATGCAGACAAAACAGAGGCAATAGCAGGCAGATGCCTGGGTGACTGGCTGCTCCCAGTCACTCAGCCCCCTCTTGGTAAGACTGCTACCTCCAATGAAAGAACACTTACCCAGAGCATCAAAGGAAGGCACCAGGGCTGTCACAGTAACAAAATATGTTTGCTGCAATCAGTGGATTCATTCCTAGGATCAACTTAAATCCAGCTAATTTTTCAACTTTGGTGAACTTTAACCTTTAAATCTATGCTGTGGACCAATAGCTAACCAGGAACTGTATGTTTTTCAGCAGTTTTTTAAAAAACACATCTTTAGTTTGAACCAGTGGAGGAACTGAAAGCAACAGACACAGTTGGGAAGTCAGAAAGTATTGAGAAGTGGAAGAGCACATTAGTGTTAGTTTTGGTCTTTTTGTGGGATTTGTTCATAATAAGAAAATATTTTAGTAGTAGTTTACTCTTGATAAAGCTGTACTTGCAGCTTTTTACACTGAAGGATGCTTCATGTACCAGCATGGGGAAAACTGCGGCAATGGCTTTGTCATTTTCATTCCACATTAAAAACATTAATCATGCACTGTCCAGCACTCTGGATTCACACAAGACAAACAACTAATCTGGCTCTGTAACAAGTACAAACATCCACTGATTATTTGTTAGAACACAGTATTGGCAGCAGTGAGTGTACTGTAGATATCTTATCTGAGCAAGTTAATGCAGAGTGCAGTGATTGTGGGAGAGTGAAAAATGGATGGAAGAGGCTGAGAAAGAGACTGGAAACTGCATGGAAAGCTGAATTCATACAAGACCTAATCAGAAAAAACTCATCTTTTGCACTTAGGCAAATGAGACATTTGCATTTGTTGGAAATGTGACCCACTATACCCGGGTGTGGCTCAACATCTCAGCCCAGCTCAGGACTTTTCTGGAGGAGGGCCGGCTGCACAGCTATCTATTGTGGCTTCAACAGGTATACTCACATAGAAGTCATCTTTTGACATTTTTAATGATTCAGTACTCTGAGGATGTGAATAAATCATCTGTGCATTGAAAGTTTGGAACAAGCTGGAAAACATTTATCCTGTTTCTCCTCTCTCCAGCTGTCCTCAGACCTTCAGCAGCACCCTGAGTTGTTGAATGGCACAAACAGTGAGCTGATGCAGAGTCTGATGGAAGGAAACTACAGTCTCCTTAACACCTCCACCCTGCTGGAGCAGCTAGACACCATTGACAACGCCGCCTGTGGCTGGACACACTTCATGTCAAAGGTCAGTATAGTGTAGGGCACAGCAGTGGTTCCCTACAATATGATTACAAATCAGCGTGACGCTGATCATTTGTATATTTATCATCACACCAGCCAATAAAATACCAGCTACAACAGACTCACTGCACAGGACATGTCTCACATACATGAGTCTGCTGTAACATGTGAACACCACGTGCTAACATGTCATTTATTAAGGGAATAGTCACACTTGTACCTTTCCTCAGTGCGATTGCACCCCCCCACTGGCCTGCACTCACACTGCACATAAAACAATCCAGACCAGAGCATGCTTACATCACCATGGTGCATCTTTTTGTGTTGAAGAGAAGCATTCTTGCATAACAGATAACATTTGGACTCTGTGCTTGGGCACAGTACACATAAAGTGATCGCCAACGATGCCTGAGTCCAGCTGAACCGTGCCCGGGCACAGCTAGTCAAATAAACTGGACTTTGGAGGTCAAGTGTGCTGGGGCACAATACAGATTGCCTAGTGTGAGTACACCTTAAAACATTGAGTTTTGACACTCCAAGTGGTAATTGTGGCCAAACCTATTTAAAAAAAGAGACCAAACCTAAACATTAACAGTTCCTAGATATTGCTGTATAGTATTAGATAATTATTGTATCAGTACTCAGTTTTATATTACTACTAATAATAATATGTTAAGCAATATCCAGCAATCACCAGCTCAGATTTACTAACCCAAAATGAACATATCCAAAACAACAATGAACCTAGTTTTTTGTTTGTTTGTTTATTTTTGTAGGGCACCCTTTACATTTTATAGGTCTAGAATGTCTTGTGGTTTGACAATGCAACCCTATCTGGTAGTCAGCAAAGTGCTGCTGCTTGTGTCAGTGACAGCATGGCTTTCAGCTGTTGTTTTCCTCACAGACGGTTCCTGCACAACAGAACTCTTACTCTTACCGCACGCAGTGGCAGCGAGTTCCAGCAGCATTGTCCTCTTTTGCTTTTTTTTTTTGTGCTTTCTGAAGGTTTCTGTGTTTGCGTTGTGTTATACTTATTTCTGTAGGCCTTTGTGGAGCTGTGCTACTAGGAGTACAAATTTTTATTGTGTTTGCATTATGTTTTATACTTTTTCGCGAGCTCCCGAGTCAGAGGATTCTGGGAGTAGTCGGCCCCATTGTTTACTCTAGGAATCAGCTGCTAGCCCTCAGCTGTGTCTGGCTTCCTTACGGGGAGAAGCTGGAGATTCCCTCGGCGATACGACATAAAATGCGGGGCTGCAGAGCTGGCATAAAGCGCCGGGACAGGAAATGGAGGTATAGCCATGTCTACCATCTATCATTATGGGAAATGTCCAGTCCCTCCACAACAAGATAGACGAGCTAACGGCGCTAACGAGACTGCGACAGGAGTACAGGGAGAGTAGCCTTCTGTGCTTCACCAAGACCTGGCTGAACAATGACTTTTCTTACTCTGTGGTCTCCCTACATGGATTCACACTAGTTTGTGCAGATCGAAGTGTGGCAGAGAGTGGTAAGAGGAAAGGGGGGAGGGTTAAAGGGAGCCCCAAGTTAAAGGAATTGCTGAATGAGAAGAAGAGGGTTTTCTTCTCAGGGGACAAGGAGGAGCTGAGCAGAGTGCAGCAGGAACTAAAGTATATGAGCCGTAGGTGCAAGGCTAGCTACAGGAAGAAGCTGGAGCAGAGCATGGAAACAAACAATGTACTAGAGGTGTGGAGAGGTCTGAAACACATCTCGGGCCATGGAAAAAGTGGGGATGGTCACCAGGCTGCGGGAGACCAGGCCTGGGCAAACAAATTGAATCATTTCTTTAACAGATTTGACTCTACCAGTCTTTAGCCCCCACCGTGCCAGCCCCCCATCTCACCTCTCTAGGTCAGTTGTCCCCTTGCAGCTGCAGCTGCTCACACCTCAGCTGTACCTTGCCCCTCCTTTCACTGTCACGGAGGGTTCTCAACAGCTTACATCTCCTGACCAGTCCCCGCTCAACTGCCCCCTCTGCCTCACAGCGGACCAGGTCAGGAGGGAGTTAAGGAGGATTAAGGCCAGGAAGGCCACAGGCCCTGACCACATCAGCCCCAGGGTCCTCAGGGAGTGTGCAGACCAGCTCAGCGAAGTCATCCTATACATGTTTAATCTGAGTCTTAGCCTGGAGAGAGTCCCGGCTCTGTGGGAGACATCCTGTGTGGTCCTGGTTCCTAAAATATCTCATCCTAAGGAGCCGAACCATTACAGACCCGTTGCCCTGACCTCCCACCTAATGGAGAGGATTGTCCTCGGCCACCTCTGTGCCCAAGTGAGCTTGGCGCTCGACCCATTGCAGTTTGCATATCGACCTGGCATCGGGGTAGATGATGCTATTATCTACATGCTGTATCGAGTCCTATCTCACCTGGAGTCCCCTGGAAGCATGGTGAGGGTCATGTTTTTTGACTTCTCTAGTGCTTTCAACACAATCCAGCCGTCACTGCTGAGGGAGAAGTTGACGGGGGCAGGTGTGGACCAACACCTGTCTGCATGGATCATTAACTACCTCACAGAGACACCTCAGTTTGTCGGACGTGGTAGTCTGCAGCATGGGGGCACCCCAGGGGACGGTGCAACCCCACCATTGTTTTCTGTTGGCCTTGTGCAGTTTCATGTGAGCATGCAATGTCTATGGCTTTTCCTAAGGTTAGACCTGAACCTTGGCTTAACAGCTTTTCTCTGACCTGTGGCAGGTTGGTGGCAAATACAATCCTGTCCTGCACCATTTCCTCACTGTTGACATACCCACACTGCTGCACTAGTAGCTTTAACTTCACCACAAAATGTTTGAAAGTCTCTCCTTTTCATTGTAATCTTTCATTAAACCTGTATCTTGTAAAGCTGGTGTTCATCTTTGGAATGTCTGTGCTGCAAATGTTGTATATATCTCTGCTTCTTTAACCTACCCACAGAAGAAGGTAACTGCACTGGGTCTTCTCATATTTGTCACACAGTGGTCCAGAGAATATCAGCTTCACATGCTGGATAAATCTCTGCCATGGTTCAGGTAGACTGGGAGAGGTCCACACCTTGTGTGGTGCAGGGAAAAAGAGATGATAGAGAGTGCTGCTCCTGTAAAACTAAGGTGTTCAAATCAGTACACAAATAAATGGTTTACCATGGAGTCAAATGCTGGAACTATTTATAGGCGAACAGCAGCCAGGTGCACTTACTTCCTGGAGTCTACACTAGTCACAGACTGTGCATCACCATGACCACAATATTTATAGCATACAGTGAACCATGGAAGAGTGACAAAAACATGCACACAAAACAATATTGTAAACATTCAGTATTCATACTGTATGTATCAATGTTCATGTTCATATTTTAATAAAAGCTCCTTAGTTATCAAGAATCAATATATAAATCTAAAGTGACAGATTCTAAAATAAATAAATTCTATTGACAAAAGTCATTACATTCTCATTAATATCTCAACTTTTTCAGAGACATTTGGGAGATAAGAAAGCGCAAATCCTATTCTATTGATTCTAGTGCAAACATGCTGATATAGCATTAATACAGTATGATGATTTAATCTTTGTGCTCAGCTCAACTGTTTCTTTCATGAAACCATTGCTGTTGTGGAACATATCTGAGTCTTTGTTTTCTGCTTTCAGGTCAGTGTGGATGTCTTTAAGGGCTTTCCTGATGAGGACAGCATTGTCAACTACACCCTGAATCAGGCCTACAATGACAATGTGTCTGTCTTTGCCAGTGAGTCATCCATCTGTGTCAGATTGTGAGCATGGTGTCTCGGATGCAACAAGCCCTCTAACCTTCACAACCATATAGTTTGTTTCAGGGATGTACCGATCCGATACTCAGCATCGGTATCGGCCGATACTGTGCAAAATTATTTGGATCGGATATCGGATAAAAGAATTTAATCCATCCAATCCGATACCACGTAGCAACGTTTATCTAAACTTAAACGGACATATCGTAAAGCAAGTGAGCAGACCGCAGTATGTGTCACGTGAAGTGTAGGTAATGCATCATGGGTAGCACATGCTAGGCTAGTTTCAGAAGCTAGTGCCGCTATATGGATATGTCAGCCGTGTGGACGTACTTTAGTACGGTGGCCGGCACCGGCACCACACACGCAAGACACAAACCCGG